GTAAGCAAGTAGCCTGTACACATCAGTTCATACATTCTCATCTTCCTTTAATATTTAATTTAAACATTTTTTGGACTTAAAACATTATGTGTGTGTAAAAAAATTAAAAATACATTTTTAACAATTTTTCATCCATTTATTATATTATATTATATTATATTATATTATATTATATTATATTATATTATATTATATTATATTATATTATATTATATTATATTATATTATATTATATTATATTATATTATATTATATTATATTATATTATATTATATTATATTATATTATATTATATTATATTATATTATATTATATTATATTATATTATATTATATTATATTATATTATTCAATTTTAAGACCCAAAAATGCTAAATAGGTTTTGATATTAACTTGTTTGTTTTCAAAGAAATCATGATCTGGTTCAGTCTGAATAAAAAGACTGATAAAAATTTTTTTTTTAATTTCTCTGTTCTCATGAAATCTTTGTGTTGAATTATAAATAGGAGAAAAGCCACAATGTTTTTTTAAGAATATAAAACCAGACTTCAACAGACTTCACTTAGCACACTTAAGAGTCATACCGAAATCTTATTTCAGTCACTCCAGTGAATCTGCATCTACAAACCAACCTGGAAACTTTCATCTCTGTCTACTTTTAAAAGAAACAGAGAGATTTTTTTCAGAGAAAACCCCTTAAATATTCGTAGAGAGAAACGTTCCCACAGTAATTGGAATCCTCAGGAAACAGTCTGAGGTTGCGGACCCACCCTGATTCACTTCTGCTGGGTTTACAGGGGGTCTTTGAAGCACACCACCTGTTAGAGGCAGTTCCACCCTTTCCTCTTTTTCACCATGTTATGTAAGCCCTTACAGATGCAATCAGATCCTGGAAATAAAGGGGCTTTTCTCTCTATACATTTGTTCAGTTGTTCTATTTTAATGGTCCGCCTGTCTTAAACTCTCAATGCATCTTCCCTTTTCTAAATGTAGAATGTCAGGCACTCAAATTTTCCCTAGCACACTTCATAAAAAGCTCTGTGCTATTTTTCTGCAATGACGAGAGATGGCCTGATGGTCTATTACCTCTTGAAAATGAAAGTATAACCATTGCTTAGTTTGCACCAGCTCCATTTTTGGTCTTCCTGTTCTGTGCTGTGCCGGTTTTAATGAGAAACACAATGAAAGGTTGTTATGCTTGTACAGAATTAACACTTGCACATTGAGATTTTCTCAGTTTGTTTTAGCCATAGTGTACAGCTCCTCACCTGAACAGGAAGCCAGACAAACCATTCATCTCTTTTAACTTCATTATAACTTCCTGTGTTTGCATGCTTTCAGCGCTGATATGTCTGCATCCAGTATTTGTGAAAAGCCTAACACTACATTTACAGGGTGTTTACTGCCAAACCAAGTGGAACATACTGTGATAGGCCCGAATACAAATCATGTCATTTCTTTTTAGAAGCGTAAGTGTTACAATATAGCGAGGTGCTGATATGAGGGTGGAAGGGTGGAAATCCCAGTTGAGATTTCCCAAACGCAACGTATATGACATGAACGAACAGATAGACAGACCGTTTTATATTCCGCCAACGTGTGTTTTTGGGTAAGTGAGGTGACAGAAAGAGTTTTTGCTTTTTGAAGAAAAACATTATCTTGTTCCAAACCTGGATGATTTTCTTTTTTTGTTAAACACAACAAGAAATGTTAGACGGTATGCTTGTGCTGCTCTTTTGCACACAATGAAACTGAATGTGACCAGGGGCTGTCAATCAGCAAAAAATAACAAGAAAGCACAATTAAAAACCATAAAAGCAGTCCATGTGGCTTAAAAGCTATTGTATAATTTCAGAAGACTTGGAAAGTAGTGTGTTAGTCATATGAACTACTTTTATAGTGCTTTTGTGGTCATTTTTGGAGATTGAAAGCTCCTGGTCACCATTAGACTTCATTGTATGCAAAAGAACAGTGTGAACATTGTTAAAGATTTAGATGATGATCCAATATTTAGATTTAGAGTTTGCTTCCTTGTCGAGACAGATTTGTAGAAATGTAGCATTACATCACTTGCCCAACAATGGATCCTCTGAAGTGAATGGGTGCCGTCAGAATGAGAGTCCAAACAGCTGATAAAAACATCACAATAATCCACACGACTCCAGTCCATTAATTTATGTTTTGTGAAGTAAAAAGCTGTTTTTGTAAAAAACAAATCCATCATTCAGGTGTTTAAACTGTTGCTTTTGACCTTTACGAGTAGTGTGTGTTACTTGTGGATTATTGTGATTTTTTATCAGCTGTTTGGTCTCTCATTCTGACGGCACCCATTCACTGCAGAGGATCCATTGGTGAGCAAGTGATGTAATGCTAAATTTCTCCAAATCTGTTCTGATGAAGAAACAAACTCATCTATATCTCAGATGGCCTGAGAGTGAGATCATTTTCAGCAAATGGTCATTTTTGGGTGAACTATTGCTTTAAACTTCTTCTTCTTTTGTGTTCCACTGAAGAAAGAAAATCCTAAAGGTTCAACCATTAAAACATTTTGATAACATCATTTAGTGCCTTTTTAAATTTGTTTTTCTTGTGGGAAATGCACAGAAAGTCCTTAAAGTGAAGGTTTCAGGTTCAAAACTGACACATTTGTTCACAAAAGGCCATACTGACTGGTTCTCCAACAATGCAGATGAATTATGGTAAATTATTTCCACTTAACATGTCAGGCTGGTTGCATATAAGGTCAAATGTTGGATCAGATCTCTTTGCAAGACTGAATCTAGAAAGACAGGATGAGCATTTTTCTCTTTCTTTCTTTCAGAGATTGATGGTTCCATGCTCTCTCTGTATTCATTTGATTTCTGTGCACATCTTCCCCGGGGCGCTATGAGTTTGAATGCTCAAATTACCCATGTGCTCATCATAGATATGCAAATCTGAATACAGCTGAACATTGTGCATTATAAAAAGGCACATATTTGAGTGTTAATTGGTGATTTTTAACTGTGCTATATTTGTGCATATATTTGCTTGACCAGGTTTGTGTCTGTTTGCATTAAGCTGATGGCTTTGATGTGTTAATATAAAGAGCTGCTTGGTGGTAATATAGAGCACAAATTATGAATTTCATTCTTTTCGTGTCAGAGGCTGACATTTAAATGTTGATGCACACTGACCCCTGCTGGTACTAATGTTGCAGTGCTGCTTTTGTCTGCCTTAAAGATGATGGATGAGAATTTAATCATATCTTTCATCTTTAACATTTACAAGCATATTTCATTATATACTACTTGATGGGTGTTTTATAATGAAAAATAAATAAGCCTATTTATATGTAAGTGCATATAAATGACCATGTTTCTGGAGTATGACTTTTTATGTTGTGTTATATATAGGGAACATTATTTTTTACATGGCTTAATTCTGAAAATGGTGAAATTTGGTGGTCAAATAATTTTGTATAATGACTGCTAAACTGTATAATTGATTATTGGCCCATATCTGTGGTAGTTTCTTGTTGTCTCTTTCTTCTCATGTAATATATTTTTAGCTCTAATCAATATTTCATGTCCGTTTATTTAGTAAGTAGCAGTGTAGTTAACAATACTAACAGTCTGATTGTATACTGTTGTCCTTTACTTAACAAATAATGATTATTTTTCTTGTCTTTTCCTCTTAGGTTATGGACACACTATCCAAACTCTCTCATACACACATTGCACAGCAGACTGGAATAAGGTATTTGAAAAAGACGAAATGAATAATTCTAACTATTTTAAGAGTGCAGCAGATGAAAATTCATATTTTTATCTCTCTCTGCCTCTCTCTCATTCTATTCTAGGGCGTTTCCCACAGAAGAGAGTGTTGAGGATGAGGACATTTATAACCATCTAGAGGATCTGATAGAGTGAGTCATTTTTTTTTTTTGCTTACAGTGTTTCTCTTCCTTCTGATATTTTAACCTTTGGCTCACTTTACACTCTCTGTTAGATATAGGAACCTCAGGCTGGAGCACATAGGAGTGCTTAGGTTGATGTTTTGCTTAGTGTATTAACATTTATTAATGTATCATGAGATGGTGCATCAAAATGTACTAACACTTTAAAAACAGTGTTTATATGATAGAATGTTTACAATGTTGAAATCAACTGATTCATAGAATGACATATATACACACACACACACACACACACACACACACACACCGAGGGTTATTGCCGCTGTACAACTGTTAAGGTAACAGCCTCAGACGTAAACTATCAGATTTTGCCTCTGGCCTGTGTCCTCTTGTTCCTACTACTGCCACGTATAGGGTCTCTTATTCCAGCAGACAGGCAACAACAAACACGGTCATAGGATTACAGGACCACGAAGAGCCCTGAGGTGCCACTTGATCTGCTATTTTGTCACACCACAGTCCAGAAGTGTTATACTTTCCTGATCTCTCAATTATGAGTGCACTACATTTCTAGCCACATAAGCCACTCCTACTGTGTGTCAGTCAGTGAGTGAATGTCAGTATATGTAGGGAAATAGTAGCTGAATCACACTGTCATATGAGATCACAGTTGCTACACCACCCATAAAAGGAAACTGACCTGAATGTAGAAACACACACCCATAGGAAAGACATTTCAGATCTCTTTAATGTCTCAGTTGTTTCGCCTAAACAGCAGTGAAGTTAAACGGAGATCAAATGGAGATTTTGATCCTCAGGTTATTCTCCTGAAGTTTCATAAGAAATCTCAACAATGTCTCAAACTGTGGTCTAGATATCCTGGCTCAGATTTGCAAAAGTCAGGGATTTTTCATCATATTCTTACAAGACCAAATTATCTGTGGTTTGCAATTCACATTCGTTTCAAAGCACTGTTTTATACGTTGCCCACTATTGTTTCATTTTTTTCTTATATTTCATTTTATTCCAGCTTTATTTTTAAATTCCGAAAAAGATTTTTAATAGTTTTAGTTAATGATAACTACACAACTTCTGAGCAATAAAAGCGATTCAGCCGTCGTTTATCAGGCTGTTGAGAAGGCCAACAGTAGCATCAGCACAAATGTCTGTTCTCCTCATATGACATGCTTAAGGATTTGATATCATGCTTAGCAAATATTGATGTTGCTGTCACTATGTTTTGGCTCAACCTCATCACATCTATTTCTTAGCCACACACACACACTGGAGAAGCACTAAAAAGCTCTGTGTGTCTCAGTGAGAATGGCGTTGAAGATGAAGAAGATCTCTATGACTGTGTGTACGATGATGATGAGGGAGGAGAGGTGTATGAAGACCTGATGAAGGTTGAGCTGGTACAACCGCAGGTGAGTTTACTGAAATGCTTTACATATAAGCATGGTTTGGGTTGCAACTTGCAAGTCATAAAATGTCCTCTGTTTCACTCTCTCTTGCTACTGTAATTACAGAAACAGGCCGAGACGGACATCCGAAGCTGTTGTCTGATGGAAATCAAACAGACTGAGGAGAAATACACAGAGACGCTGGACTCCATAGAGAAAGTGAGGCCTCTTTATAACTGCACAGTCAGTCCTGCTGTAACTTGAGAGCTTTAATGCATTGTGTGAAATCTGTCAAGTGTCTGCTAGATGTAATGAAACACATAATTTGTATAAAGACCATAACCACAGGTAAAATCATGGATGAATCTTTTTACCATGTTTAGAAGTAACTTACTGTACAATATTTTACCATGGCTGCTGGCAAAATAACATAGAAATACAATAGAATACCAGTTATTGTTACATTTGCCCTCTGATAACCTGTTATAAGCCACCATTATCATCAAATTAAAGAAATTACAATGACAAAAATTCAGAAAACAATGTATGGTTTTGAAAATGATAAAAAAAAATCAGCCTAAACACATTTAGAAATTGTAAAAAGTTATTATTATTATTATTAATAATAATAATAATAATAATAATAATAATACATTGTTTGTTTTAAATCTTAGTATGAATATACAACATTTTCATTATAGTTACTATAATAAAACCGTGGTCATTTTCCACAGTGGAGCAAAAAATCATTATGTTTTAATATAGCTTTACTGTTGTTGTATTTATTTATTTATTCATTTATTTATAATAATAATAATAATTTATTTGTTTATTTTAAATCTTAGTAAATCTCAATAGAAATATAGAACATTTATATTATAATTACTATAATAAAACCAAGGTAAAATTATACAAATATTTATCATATTGAAATTTATTAGCTTATCCATAGCAACATCTTAATTTTTATGTTTTTTTTTCTCCATCCACAGTTCTTTATGAAGCCTCTGGGACAGTCACTGTCCAGTGTGGAGATCGAAAAAGTGTTCATCAATATACCAGTGAGTCACAAAACGGCCTCTATCGGAGAACCCATTTTAGCATGAATCTGTGTGTCAATGTCTTTATCGCCTCATATTTTTAATGTTCTGCATTGCACCAGGACCTTGTGAAAGTGCACACGAGTCTTCTGAGGGAAGTCCAGGATTCAGTGCTCATGCATAATGCCAGTAACCTGTATCAGATCTTTATAAAATACAAAGAAAGGTGATTGATTTATCCCTTTAACTCTCAAAAGAATGAAACCCTTCCCCTTCTCACATGTGTCTGTTTTCCTGTGTGATAGATTAGTCCTGTATGGGAAGTACTGCAGTCAAGTAGAATCAGCCATTGCGTGTTTGGATGACATCTGTAAGAACAGAGAGGACGTCAGGCAGATGTTAGAGGTAAGACATTGTCAGACTGTATTTATTTGCTGTTAGACAGTGCCACCTGGTGGTTGAGAAGAGTGCAGAACATTTCAGAACATTTTATTTCAATCATCATTTTGCTCTCTTCATTTATTTGCAGAACAGTCATGTCGCAGTCACATATGTGGTTTTTGTTTGTTATTAATTTCAGTTATTTTCCAAGCGAGCCAATAACGGGAAGTTTACTCTGAGAGATCTGCTGGTGGTTCCGATGCAGAGAGTTCTGAAGTATCATCTGCTTCTACAGGTTCGAAATCATTTTGCTGTATTCCTGCTCATACAACAACATGTTTTACCTGAGCATTTAATTAAGTACTTTAAAGCAGTGTTATTTTAGAACAAGAGATACTATTGTAGTTTTTATCGATATAGTTCTATATCAATTTTAATTGATTATTTAATTTATAACCAAATTACATTTTGTTGTGTGTTTTTTTCCCCCTCATTTTTAGTTACTTTAGTATATCAAATTCAACTAAATTAAGATGTGAAATGTTTCCTTGGCAACTAACTGAAATAAAATAAGTTCAGTTTTTTTAATATGTTATTTTATCTAAGTTAACGTCTATTTTATTTCAGATAGTTTTAGATTTAGTTAACTATAAAAACCCTTCTTTAGAGACAACATGAAATGCATAATGTGGCAGATTTTAATATGAATATTCAACAGGAAATAATGTAGTAATAGTTTAGAACAGAACTATTCTACACATACATAACATGTTAGGCTATTTAATTTCCTCCTCCACTTCTTCTTCTTCTTCTTAATAATAATAATATTAATAATAATAAACTAATAAACTCTCTCTCTCTATATATATATATATACATACTGTAATTAAATAGTTGTGTATGTTCTGGTATAGTTTAAGAATATTTTTTGAATCATATGCACTGATTAATATGCCCTAATAGACTATAAGAAATAGGGTCAATTCTTCTTTCATGTTGGCTTTAAATGACTGTTTTACTGTTAATGTCCACTAGGGGCAGTGGAGTCCATGTTTTACTCTTCCACAGAGAAGCAGCATAATACAGGTTTGAAATCCAACAGTAGGGGGCAGTGTAATATAACTGAAGCCACCACGATCCTTTTGCTGTTGCAGGAACCTTTTGGCTCTCAGCAGACAGAACAGCGAAGGTGTTTTCTGTGTGTGTGCATGCATCTATTTAGAATGCCTGCCAGACTGTCCACAGCTCAGTTCACCTCCCTGCCCATCTGGCCAGCTGTGGGTTTAGGGAATGTGTGTGTGTGTGTGAGGCGGGCGCTGCAGATAGAGCGTCTGTCTGTCTGCTGCGGAGTGTGTGTGTGTGTGTGTGTGTGTGTGTGTGTGTGTGTGTGAGGCAGGCAGTGCAGATAGAGTGTCTGTCTGTCTGCTGCCCCTCTGGAGAGCAGGCTAACGTGTGACAGACTGTCTTTCTCTGCTATTTGCTCTGCTGGAGGAAGCCTTGGCCAGTGAGAGAAAGAGCAAACCAGCTTTACATAATGAGTTATAATCAAAATTCATAACTAATCTGTTATGACAGATTCTAATATTTATATATTTCAATTAAATTATCTTAAATAATTATTCTTCATTTTATGCAAAATGATTATTTATTTATTTACTTATTTATTTTTACATTTGTAATTTTTTGGGGGGATAAGAAATTAATACTCTTATTCAACTTTTACATTTGCAAATAAATTTATTTCACATATATGCTCTTCTTTGAACTTTCTATTCAACAATTTCCGAAAAAAATGTATAACAGTTTCCACAAAAATATTAAGCAGCACAACTGTTTTCAACATTGATAATAATGAAAAATGTTTCCTGAGCACCAAATCAGCCAATTAGAATGATTTCTGAAGGAAATCATTTTGAAATAGCTTTTATTTTTTTTTTTGCCATTTTATTTTTTCATTTCATATTTTAATTTTTAGTAATTTTGTTATGCACTTTTGTCATTTTTATTAGATTCAAATTATGTTGAATTTATTTTTATTGTAGTTTTAGTTTTTAGTTATTTCCAGTTCCAGTTTTAGTGCCTCAACTTAAACTTTTTTCAGTAAGTTGACAAGGCAACATTTCTAATTTACATTTAGTTTAAGTTTAGAATGTTTATATTCAATTTTATTTTAGTTTAATTTTAATAGGTTACAGTAATAACCATGAAAGGTTCATGTGACACTGAAGAGTGGAGTAATGGCTGCTGAAAATTCAGCTTTGTTATCACATATTAAACAGTTATTTTAAATTGTAATAATATTTCACTATATTACTGTTTTAGCTGTTTTTTTTTTATCAAATAAATGCCTTGGTGAGCACGAGACTTCTTCTAAAAGCCTTAAAACAATTTTACCGACTCCAAACTTTTGAATTATCGATAGTATATGCCCAGATTTTGAAAATCATATTTTTTACTGTAACCGTACTAAGAAGGGGCTGTCAAAGTAATGGTTGTAAATCAGGATGTAAAAGTTACAGACATAAAAAGTGATGCATTTTATGAGCTAAGGCAATAAATATCAGTTTAAAGTGGTAATATTGTATGACAGCAACAAAGCAACCAGAAGTTGGTGAAGAGCAACTGTGATGCAACAAATCTTGAGCAGAGTTTGAACAATTGGGTAGTTATTGGACATAAAAAGGTACAAAGTGGACCAGACATTACAATACTGCAATGCTGGCCTGTGAAATCACATTGAATGATATTCTCCTGGAATTCTGCAAACGTTTGGATAAGAGATCGGCTGCATTTTATTTCTGAAGTAATCTCTGTGTTAGTGTCATACCTCCTTTCTCTCTCTCTATCTCTCTCTCTCTCGCTGTGTGAGGGCAGAAGGAAGTGAGAATGAAAAATAAGGTGATGTCCGTCTTTCTGCTGATAATAATGCGCAGGTTCAGCTTGACTGACGCAGGGGATTTGGCTTGTGCTGGATGGCAATTTATCTCTTAGGCCAAAAGGAAGCCATTTATCAGACCCGAGTAAACATTCATTCATAGCACCCTCCCTTATCCTACAGACTGGCCCAGATGTCTTTACTTCATTCAGTTTGGCTGACGCAGGGGATTTGGCTTGTGCTGGATGGCAATATATCTCTTAGGCCAAAAGGAAGCCATTTATCAGACCCGAGTAAACATTCATTCATAGCACCCTCCCTTATCCTACAGACTGGCCCAGATGTCTTTACTTCATCCTGGAGCAGGAAGGCAATTTCAACCCCACAAAAACCTTTTGCTTCTCATTTCAATTCTTGAACCTGCGATGCATATCATCATTGTATTCTAATGCTTGCCCCATTATCACTTTTATTTTATTTTATTTTATTTTATTTTTTTAGCCTTAGTCTCCTGTTTTTTTTGTAGCAGAAATTGATGAATATACATATAAAATCAGTTAAAATTATTTTTATGTAACCTGTGAAGTAACTTATTACAGGTTTATTAAACTTTATTAACACACAATCCTGCTCAACTAATATTAAATATAGAAAATCCCATAAAAACATTTACTCCTGGGTTCAATTCCTTGGTTAGTTCATTTATTAATTTCATTTTAATTCATTAAATCGGAAATGTAAAAATATATCATTTGTAGCTTAAATATAATTTAACAATTATATATATATATATATATATATATATACATATATTTCAGTTATTTTAAAATTATTGTTTTTTTTTATACATTTCAGTGCAAAAATAAAACAAAAAGAAATGTTAAAAAAAAAAGAGAGAAATTAAGATATGCTTCAATGCAATGTTTTTTTCCCCTATTTTTTCCTTCGTCTCGTGGCAGGCCATGGCGGGCCAAATCAAAGGTCAATCTTGATTGATATTAGAGGCCTTGTTCAATCTGAAATTACAACAGTGACAGATTTCTTTCTCTTTTAGTTTGTTTGGGATGTACATGCATCAACTTTTTCGTAAGAAAAGCTTTCGTTGAAAATCAATGTGGCCCTCTTGACTCAGACATGATCAAGATGGTGCCGAATGCATCTTGACGGGTAACCGTCTGCTAATTGAGGCAAATCAAGCTGAGAAGATTGTGCAGATTGCACCGAGGGCTGTGATGATTTCATTTGGATAAATTTGCCACTTAGCATTGATTGGGGTATCGGGCTAATGCGGTTAACCTCCTCAAGTGCTCCCCTTTAAAGATCCTCGCGGTGGGCGATCCAGCCCCCCACTCCCTGATTATTCTAGATACGCGATGATGAATGAGTCACTAAACTCCACTCACAGGAAAGGCGGGCACTGTGTTCGGAATGAGATTTGTCAAATAAGCCTCGCTTTTCAGATGCTAAATCTTATTTTACATTTTTAGATGGAATTGAGTCCCTTGAAAACATCACATGGGCCGACATTGTCAGCTAGGGAGGAAGTATTGTTATTTTTAGCGCACAAATAGAAAGACTTCCTTATGTATCCTCAGGTCAAAGTCTCAGCGTGTTAAATGTTATGGTGTTTTGTTTGTGTTTCCATCTCTACAGGATCTGGCTCAGTATGTCAATGAGGTGAAGAGAGACATCGAGACTCTACGAGACATCGACCAGTACCAGAAATCTATAGAAAACCTTGTGAGCAAAATCACATGTTTTATATAGAGTACTATTTAAAAAGCAGTTTTGGGGAAGCTACTGTAGTCAAACTACACTTTTAATGAAGTATATAGCTACATTACATAAAAGACACAAGTCTTTGCAGACGAAGATCCCTCATTGCACTGGAATTGTTTTAAGTCTTAAATTGTTTCATTTGCCCTAAATAAGTTAGTAAATTCATTTAATTTAACAAAATCAATTCAGATTCCGTTTTAGAGGTTTTTATCAAAGATTGATTTTAAGAACCTTAAGTTTTAATCTCTTTAAAAATTAGATAACTATTTCACACTGTGATGTTGTCCAAATTGTTTAGTATTACACATAAATTGTTTCAAATGTATTTATTTACAATTTATAATTTGTTGATAATTTATAATGCAATATATATCTTATTATATGATTTATTATTATATGAAATGATCAATTATATATTTTTGTAAGAATTATATTATATATTTTATTATTAATTATAAATGATAAATTGTAAATTAATAAATACATTATATATATTAATAAACTATAAATTGTGCTATATAAAATTTGTATTACTTTTTTAAACATCTAATAAAACAATACAAAAAATGGAATTTGTTTAAATATTTTAGTATTTAGCAAAATACATATTTCTACAAACAAAGCATTGTCAAGATCATTAAAATGAATTAGTGTATCGTTAGCCATAACATGAATCACACTTCACAGTGCAACTTGAAAGAGACATTTTTAGGAAAGTGGATTTGATTATTTCTTCAGCTCACTCTGTTAAAAGACTGTGCGTTCCTTTTTATGCTACACTTGCTGGAAAAAAAAATGCTACTGTATGTTCCTGGAGAAGCTGAACTATTTTAAAAACGCCCAAGATAGTGTCAGACTACTGAAAAATGCACTGATTTGCATGCCTACTTTTAGTTAGTTTTCCCCCAACACTGCTAAAAGAAGTTAAGCAGTGACAGTATGAAGCTTTGAACAGTTTTGTGGAGAAACAAACACCTAACTCCCCTAGTAGCGCACAAGCATGTTTGCATTGAGTTTGCACCATTTTTGTGTTCTGCAGAATCAGTCTCTCCGTAACTATGGGAGACCAAAAGGTGACAGCGAAGTGCGAGTAGCTTCAGTCGACAAACGAGCCAAACAAGACAGGTGAGATGATTAAAGTGTGGAATACGGCTCAGCCTGAAACTCCGCAGGTCTTTACTAAGGCCTAAGGGTTATGAAGGTGTCACCCTCAAGCGCTCCTCTTGTGTTTTCTCTTTCTCTTTTGATCTATGCTGATCCTCTGACGCAGGCACATCTTCCTGTTTGATGCCGCCGTGATCGTATGCAAACGACGAGGAGATAACTACGAGATGAAGGAGGTGATTGACCTCCACTCCTTCAAGATCACCAACAACCCTACCTCAGAAAGAGAAAACCGAAAGGTGCGCAGCCAGTCTCCTAATTGCCGCCAAAGTTCGCTGCACCGAAGCCGAGGGCAGCAAATGTGCTGTTATGCTGTCGTGCCATAATCAGTTACTGCGGTAGAGCAGCTTTCGTTCGCACAGATGGTGTTTCCTATTAAAAACTGTCCAGCGACTGCTAACGAACGCAGCCGACACCAGACACAGCTAAATTAGAAAACATGATGTCGTTTGTTATATTACGTTACGTGCTGCTGTGCCAGGATGATTATTCGTTAGGTAATGCTGTAAATATTACATGTACAAGATAGAGAGTGTGTGTGCAAGAAAGAGTTTTATTGAGAAATGATGCTGGTAAACATATGCAACGTAAACATCACTGTTATTATTAGGGTTACTCTTGGGTACTTTTGTGAATGATGATGCCTCAAATTGTCCGACTTGTTGAGGGAAGGTGTTCTTGTTCATTTAAGCGATCAGAGTCCTGGCTAATAATAATATGAGTGAAAAAATCCCAAATTTGGAGGTATTTGCTTTTTATTATATTACAAAAACAAAACAAACAAAAAAAAACATACTGCGTTCTTGTGATCACCTCACATGATCTACTCAGCAATTTATTATTATTTTTTTTTAAGTTGGAACATATCTCACATACTGTATCTCTCATTTCAAGGATGCATTAATTTGATTAGATGTGACAGTAAAATGATTTATAATGTTGCAAATAATTTCTAATTCAAATGCTATTCTTTTGAATGCTCCGTTCATCAAAGAATCTTAAAAAAATATTAAGCAGCAAAACTGTTTTTAACATTGATAATAAAGAATGTTTTTTTGAGCAGCATATTAGAATGATTTCTGAAGGATCATGTGACACTGAAGACTGGAGTAATGATGCTGAAAATTCAGCTTTGCCATCACACGAATAAATTACATTTTAAAATATTTTAAAATAGAAAGAGTTTAGTAAGAGTTTAAGAATATTTTGCAATATTACTGTATTTTTTTTTTATCAAATAAATGCACCCTTGGTGAACATAATAGATTTGAAAAATATGAAAAAGGGGTGCCTAAACCTTTGAACGGTAGTGTTCATAATATTCGCATACAAAAAGCATGTTAATGCCAGGCCATAGAGGCTTTCAAAATCACATTTTTTCAGTCAAATCCCTTGCTGTTCATTAATCGAATACTTTCAGACAGACAGGCTTCGAGTCCAGATGCGTAACAGCTTATTGAGCTGCATTCTCTATGCTTTTGTTCACATTGCACACAAAAAAAGATGTTTGTTTTTCAAGTCCGACTGTCCACACTGTCATTTCTTTCGAGTGATGAAATCTGATCCACTTGTTCAGTGAAGTCAATATCTACATCAGTTGCAATATGATGTAAACGTCAACACAATGCCAACAGACGATAACAGGATGACCCTGCTAGATTTGATAATAACATTTCGTCAGTCTTGCATAAACAATAGTGACCCCCTCGCACCATCATGTGGTCTACAAACAGAGCTTTGTACTCTCATCCTTGTTAGAGCGTCTTCAAACGGCTTTAAGACGGTGTTTGTCTTCGCTTTATCTGTGCATGTGTGTGTTTTGCATTTATAAAATGGATGTTCTTGCCTTCTCTTCCTCTTCCAGTGGTGTCACGGATTCTACCTCACACACAATCAGGGTCAAAACGGCTTTGAGTTCTTCTTTAAAACCAAGGAACTAAAGAAGAAATGGCTGGAGCAGTTTGGCATGGCATTGTGAGTGTGTCTTTTGTTGTCTCTGAAGCTCTGCACTTGTTTTTCAGGTTTGTTATCTGTCTTGGCAACAGACACAAAAGCATGATTTAGCTACGACAGTATGTCCTGGCCCTGATTCAAGACTAAAACACCATTAGTGTTTATTTTTTACTACAGAACAAACACAGTAATGAGGACAGGCTTGCTTAGCCAAGCATTTTTGCAGCAGCGTACCTTATAAAACATAATGTGACCCAAAGGGTTTTCATTCCATCAGAGTGGTTGGTTCAGTTTTGCAGATAGACTAGTATATACCAAGTCTTTTTCTTTTAGTTAGTTTGGTTGTTTTAAAAAAGATATATTCGGCACTTTTACAGCAGGTATTTATATCCTTAAAGTCCACTTATAATGTTTCTTGCACCAAAACCTGTTGTAATTTAGTGTTGTATGACCATTTTTTCACCCTCTCTCTGCTCTTTACAGGGATAGCTCACTGAAATTTAAAATTCATGACCCGCATGTTGTTCCAAACCTGTATGGCTTTCTTTCTTCAGTGGAACACAAATAAAGAATGATTGTGTTTCCACTTGCAGTTAAATTGAATAGGGACAGGAGCTTTCAAGCTTAAAAAAATTGCACTGTAAAAGTATAATAATAAAAGTGGCCCATACGACTTGTGCACTATATTTCACATCTTAAAAAGCCATATGATTGCTTTGTGTGACAAACAGATTCCAATTTCAATAAAAAAGGTGTTATTCATTGATAATCTTTGCCTTAAGAACTCAGTAATCACTGGGACTGGATCATTGAGTCAGTGAGTTTAACCTGATCAATCTGCTTTCTGAACGAATCTTTCAGTTTGTAAACTGTATCAACTGAGTCCTAACTGTATAAACTGTCACAAATTGGAAATACAGAGTCACTTAAAGCTATCATATGACTTCAGAAGACTTGGAATCTAGCACATGGACCACTTTTATGTTCATTTTATGGTACTTTAATTCTTTTTGATGCTTTATTTATTGTTATTCAAAATTTGCATGGATCTGAAACAACATGAGGATGAGCAAATAATTGAACAGTTGTCATTTATTTGGGTGAACTGTTCCTTTAAACAAGCTATTTTTGTTCAAATACCATGCTTTAAACATTTCTACATGTTAAAAACGGAAAAAAATGTGTGGTTTCTGATGTCATGTTGCACATTAGAATATGTCTAAATGGTGTATCAGATTCTTTTATTTCAAAAGTGCAAAAGAAATCCTGTTTTCTATGATATTTCCCTTTTAATTTATACACATCCAGAGGCTTTTTATCTTCCTTCACTTTAATTTGATTCCATTTACTATTCTTAGGAGAGTCAGATTCAAGTAAATCTTTGTATTATGAAATACTAGGCAATAAGTGATCCCACTGCGTACCTATGAGAAAAAAAGAGAGAAAGAGAGTGAGAAAATATATTTATAATTCCTGGCTGTTGACAGCAACAATCAGTAAAATGCAGATGAAAACTGCAATAAACCATCAGTCAAGTAATCTACCAAATTTCAGATGTCATGCATATCCAAAAAAGGGCACATCCACGAAAAAAACGCTTGGGATAAGGCGAGAGAGAAAAAAACTGTAATGCACCAAAGACAGGAGACAGGGCTCTGATTAATTAGATAACATGTTTTTAACAGATTTATCTGAAGGGCTCATTAATTCTGGAGAACAGTGGTGAGTCAGTGCGCACTTTCTCTCTGTCATGTGTCATCAGATCAGTCTGCGGCTGAAAGCTGATTGGATATCAGTGCTGTTACCGCGCGCTAATGACATGACATCAGCACGCACAGACAGCTCTCTCATCTGTCCGTCATTTGTTTACGCCTTTATTATAACGGCACTCACCACTCAAGGGTTATTCGAGATGGATCGAGACGGAAAAACAGAAAGGGGGTGGAGGGTTTTGGATTATAAAATAGTAATAGTTCCATAGACGGCATTATGACTCCTGCCCAGCTGATGCTGTAATTAGTAGTGCACACTAAAACAGCATCACTATTGCTTTCTATGTTAAATGATTTTAAAATGTAATTTATTCCTGTGATGCAAAGCTGATTTTTACTCCTTGAGTCTGTTTAAAATAGTCTTCAGTAACAATTTATAAATCAATTTATTTCAAGATCAAGAACATTATCTACCTTACAACATAATATAATAAAACAAAACATTAGTTTGAATATACTTCGAAATGTCATTTTAAATATGTTTTATAGTATGTGCAGTACATTCAGAGATTCAAGTAGCATCCTAGCTTTGTGGCATTGAAATTTAACATGGTCGCAACTTTTTTTTTTTCCAGAAAATGCAAATATCTAGTTGCCCTTATGTGTCTTAAGAGAAATTCACAGCTGATTGGATGGTGGGAGCAGGGCGACAGATGGAAACGAGCAGTTCTGTGTTCATGAGTTATGGTTATGCAAAAAGGACTTGTTTTTAACACCCACTTTCTCTCTCTCTTTCTGTCTCAACAGATCGAACATCTGTCCAGAGAGCGGGAAAAGTAATTTCCATGAGTTCCACATGCACACTTTTGAGACGACCACATCCTGCAGCTCGTGTGAAATGCTGCTGAGGTGAGCTCACCATAGAGGCTTTGTGAAATGACACAGACTACACATTAATGCACCTTAATGAGATCGATTATGCACCTAGAGAAAGTGAGAGAGGGAAAGAGAGTGACAGAGGTAAATCAAGTGTATGTATCATCATCACTTCAGTGATTTCAGAATTGATGGATGCATATATGGTCCAATCATAGTAGAGTATGTGGGTGTGGCTAAAAACTTGTAGATCTTTCTATCTATCTATCTATCTATCTATCTATCTATCTATCTGTCTGTCTGTCTGTCTGTCTGTCTGTCGCTCTGTTGTTCTGTCATACTGTCTGTAGTTCCATCCTTCTATTTATTGTTCTATATATCTATCCATATATTGTTTCATCTATCCATCATTCTATTTATTGTTCATTTTCTCAGAGGAGTCTTCTATCAAGGGTACCGCTGCTCCAAATGTGGTGCTGGCGCCCATAAGGAGTGTCTTGGTAGGGTGGACGTCTGTGTCAAAAGCAGTGCCGGTGAGCCCCGCATTCAACACAACATACTCTTTCTAGCAATTTCTGTGCATGCACATTATGAAGCCTCTATATGCAGAGCTGCGCTGGAGCCTCTGGCTCATGTTTCAGTGTTATGTGATGTCTTACCTTGCTGTACGCTAATGATTGACCTACACTGTAGTGTAACAGACGGGGTAATAAAAGCTGTCAACACGCAGAGATTCCTAATAACAACCTAGGCCACATAGAAAAGTGTGACGTGTGATGACAAACAGACAAACAGACTTGGTTGGCTTCTTGAACCCATGATGTATGTGTGTGTGTGTGCGCCTGCCAACAGTGCCAGCTCTTATTGTTCTAGGCATTAGTCAGGGCTGCCGCAGAATTTCCTTGTTCCCATTTTTATGCACAGCTGAGCTCTCTCTAAACTCCCATCAGTTCTGCACATCCCATGTCCCATTAGGTAATTTGATTGTGCTTTCAACTAGCAATAAGAGTGTAGCGTTATTTAATACATTCATACAATTCATTATGCAGAATTCTACAGTTTTCAACCGCCAAAAATATGCAAAATAAAAAAATAAAAAAAGGATTCTGGGATATGGAAAGTCAAATGTATTTTGTAGATTCATGATCTCTCAAAATTCTGGTACCTCTGACTCATTATCTCACATCACAGGAAGGATGATGTGAAATTCTGCTGTACCACATTTGGCTTTTAGGGCACAAAATAAAAGAGATCAGATTATTAGAAATGAATTAGATTTTTTGCCTTTACTGGATGTATAATTTTGGAAAATGTATTTTATTTTAATATTTTGTTCATGATTGGTTGCATGTTTAATTAAGTTTTTCACCATGCAAGCAAGTATGACGTAATGTATTTAAATACATATTTCAAAACTAAATTATTGCAAAAAAAGAGAAAAAAAGAAAGCCCTGTCAGTTTTTTATATTTTTTAAAAATATTGCAATATATTAATTTCAGATCAGATCAGAAACATATTTTTATGTGTGTATATATACAGTATATATACTGTATATACATTTTATTTAAGATTTTTTTCATAGTTTGTTTTTTCACTCTTAATGTGAATTATTTTTGGGGGGATTGGTGCTGAACAATAATATGCCCGTAGAATTCTTGAGAACACATTACAATAATTCAACTTAAATACAAATGAGAATGTTGATTTATTTTCACTGGAAATTTCCAGAAACTGAAAATGAAGGAAGTGTGAAAAGCTACATGCTGAGGGTGTGTGTTTGTCAAGTCTGGCCTCTTTGTTGTTTTGTACACAATATTCCACTCTGTGTGTATATGTGCATGTCTGTGTCTATGTCTGTGTGTGTGTGTGTGTGTTTGTAACTAGCCCTAGAGGTGTAAACTAGTGCAACAGGACAAAGTTCACTGTACACTCCAAGTACAGGCCCGGCCTCTCCCTCAGGAGCCAATGAGACTGGCTCCTGGTGCATAACTCCATGTAGTCCGGCCCCTCATGCCAATTTAGCTCGCACAGCTGTCAGGTACCTGCAGCATAGCAAAACAAATCGTAAAGGTTCACAGCATAACATGTTACACACACTCTAATGACAGCGTCTGTACATTGTGTTCGTCTGAAAGTGTAGATTGACTCTAACAATGCCTGTCTTCAACATGCTTGCAGATTCCAGCTCTTTCGGATCTCAGGTGAGGTTTTTGTTCCTTTTCCATTGAATCTGTGAATCTAGTTCTGCCCTTCAGGGTCTCATTTACTCCTATTGATTACCATTTAAAATTAGTACTATGGAAAATTCTCTTACAATGCATTTTAAAGTTGCTGCAACATTATTCATGGGATTGTTATGAAGAAATATTACTTTATTAAAGCTTGATGCACTATTTATGGGGAAACATTATGAGATTGTTTCTAGCCCAGAGTTCATGCAGTTTAGAGTGATATATACGTTATGGATTGTGAATTTATTTAATTGCACACCAGTTTTATTAATTGCACGGTCATCATTTTGCAATAACAAACCCAACGTCATTTATATAGCATGTAATAAGGATATTGACATGCAATTTGCCCAGAGTGCAGTTCAACACTGATGGTAAATTGCATGGAGGAAATTCTCCATCTTTGTAGAAATGTTACAGGATGAACGTGTTTTTGTGCAGTGGTGTGACAAACTGTTTACTTGTCAAAAATTAATGATGAGATTAATTGTGTGTTTGCACAAAGTTTTACTTGATCATCAAATCATTAATGCATTGCAATGTCTGTGTTTGGCAACAGTATGAATCATGTGATTTATTTACTTTGATTACAGATTGGAAAAACACCCTGTCATGGAGGAGACGCAGGTAAATAGTGAGCACACACAATCAGTCACATTTTGCATTCTTAAAAGGAGAGCTCACCCAAACATGACAATTATGCAATTATTCATTCACCCTCATGTTGTTACAAACCAGCTTGCTGTTATTTTTGTCAGTGGATCACAAAAGGATGATTTTGAAGCTATTTTCAATAAAAGATGCAACCTTTTACTAACAGCGATTAGGTTTGGAATGACATGAAGGTGATAATATAATGACTGAATTCTCATTTTTGAGTGAATTGTTCCTGTAATTCACAGTCTGGCATGTGCTGCATTGAAATTGGTATGTTCGTCATTGCTATGGCTGTGGGGTTTTCATCATGCTTACAAAACATGCATAGTCTTGTACATTACATACTTCCTCAATCTGTGCTAGAAGGTGTATTTTTAGTCTGGAGTCATTGAGCCGTAGTGTTGTTGTTTGCTGTTAAGGCAAGCTCATGCACGTAACCAGGTCTTCGTGTCAGATATGAGCGGGAAAAGATTTAACCACTGTAGCTCTATTGTTTAGCTTTGTTTGCATAGAAAGGCCCTTACTAGACAATCCAGTCTATATTTCCCACAAACCTTTAGTCCAAAATACTTAACCCACTTCATCCAGTGTAGATTAATGAAATTTAATCGTATTATGTGTCTTAAGCTGTGGAGAGCTTCTTCAGTTCAAAATCGTGAGCTTCCCGGACCTTCAGTTTAAACATAGGCAGTACACACACACAGACATATATATATATATATACATACATTTGGTTTGCAGATTGTAAATGTCCTGAAACTCCGCTCATTGTTTTTGCACGGCACTCTTTACAGAAATGCAAGACTTCCACCACCTCAATCTCCATCTCCATGCTCAATCTCCATCAGCACTAGTGTTCAGCAGCAGTCGTTCCACCCATCAGTCTGTCATTAAGAGGGCCACATTATCTGTAATGTGTTTTCACTGCGCCATTGATAGGTTGATCAATACCTGTGAGGTCTACCTGGGTTACAGGTTCCGCGAGAGGCCTCCCGATCCCGCACAATATTGGGGTCGTAGATTCATTAAAGTTATGGTGAGAGAAGGTCTTTGTGTAGTGTTTGCTGTCATGGGAATCTCTGCTTTTGAATTTAAGTAGTTCCTTCCTGCCTGTTCAGCACTGCTAGATTTGTTTTCAGCAAAAACAGCCTTACTGCAAAACAACATTTGTTCATTTCAGCTGAATTGTTTTATTTCATGTGCAATCTTTGGGCATGAATGATACCTCAAATAGTGTTCCTTTTTGATGAGAGGTGTGTTAAAGTGAGCTCTTTTTTTCTGTAAACTCTAAAACATGCTGTTTTGTTATCTTTTAGCACATTTAGAAGACCTTTTCATGAGCTATTCTGATGCAGAAATGCATTTTCGAGTTTATTGGTGCTGACTCTTTGCCCTTGTGCACAAAGGTTCTTAGCATAGCATGCCAGCAAGACGCTTCCCTACAGAGAAGCACACGCTCACACTGTTTTAAAAGCGTCTTCAAAGACAGCCAGCTGTGCTTGGAGGCCCAAGGCCTGGGTGATCTGCTGGGCTGGAAGGCTTCAGCCACAGCTGGTTGCGTTAAGAGGGTCTACACTCGCCTCTCATCATCAGAACGGCAGAATATATAGAGCTGCAGCAACCAGCTGAGACCATCACTATTGACCCTTCAGCAAAGCAGCCCCGCGCACACAAACACACTCATTCATAGCTCACTGGAGCGTCTGAACGACTGTCCACTCGGCACAGTTCTGCCCGCGGCGCCAGACCTGTTGTGTCCAATTACTTGAATGGAAAAGAAAAATGTCTTAATACTAATTAGAGTAATAGCCAGACTGAACAGCTGACGTCTGTGGTCAGCTGGTCTTCGTAACTCTGGGGGGGAATTTGCCAAGAATGAATTGTCTCCTGAGGCATGGTTTATTTTAGCTTTTGCTTTAGTATCCAATTCACTAAAACGATGAAGGAATAGTGAAAAAGGCCAGCTACAGTTTTGAAAGTGGTAGAGGATGCAACAGACTGCCTATGAATATTACAGACTTTTTATTTATCAATTGTTTTTAATGAGCTTTTGTTTGTATGTTTTCTTTTTTCAATTTTTTAGTTTTACAAATTTTGTAATGTGCTTTTTGTAATTTGTATTAGTTTTTTATATATCTATTTACTCCTTTTTTCCTCACAGTTTTACTTTAGTCATTTTAGTACTTAGAACCTTCAGTTTTTAGTATTTGATTCACTAAAACTTACATGAAATTGCGTAAAAAGGCCAGCTACACTTTTGAATGCTGGTTTGTGGAGGATGCTGCAGATGACCTGTTAATATTACAGACTTTTTATTAATAATTTGAATTAGCTTTTATTTTAATTATTTTTATTGTGCTCTGCTAGTTTTTACTTTTTTAATATTTCTATTTAACTTTCATTTATATTTCTTTCAGTTTTACTTTAGTAATTTTAGTTCTTCAGCTTGAACTTATTCTTTACATGACTTACATAACTTACTTGAACTTATTTTCAGTTTTATTATATATTGTATCTGATTCACTAAAATTATCAAGGAATAGTGTAAACAAGGCTGGCTGTGATTTTAAATGCGAGGTTGTGGAGGATGCAGCAGATTGTCTGCATCAATGCACTGCATGCATGACTGCACGAACTCTCGAGACAAAACAAGCTTGCTGACGTTTTTATGATGGATTGACGTGATTCTGCTGTCATCTGTGGTGATTTACGATTATAACTTACTTGAACTTATTTTCAGTTTTATTTTAATTTTAGTTTACATTTTATTAATTTTGTGCTTTTGTCATTTCTATTATATTTATATTATTATATTATATTTTTTATATATTTCTATTTAGCTTCAATTTATAATTTGTTGTTTTATTTTTGTAATCTTAGTACTTAAACTTATTTTATTTCTTTAAAACTTATTTTCTATGCTATTTTATAGCATATATTTTATGCTTATTTTATATGCATAAAATAATTTTGTTTTCTATTTTACTTATTTTATATGCTAGATATAAACATATATATATATATATATATATATATATATATATATTGTATCTGATTCACTAAAATTATCAAGGAATAGTGTAAACAAGGCTGGCTGTGATTTTAAATGCGAGGTTGTGGAGGATGCAGCAGATTGTCTGCATCAATGCACTGCATGCATGACTGCACGAACTCTCGAGACAAAACAAGCTTGCTGACGTTTTTATGATGGATTGACGTGATTCTGCTGTCATCTGTGGTGATTTACGATTACAGCGTCACGTACATAAACCTGTTCTTTATGTGGCAGAGTGTCAAAACATGCAGTAATGACACTCTGTCAAAGTTCATTACACATGTTGGTGATATAGTTGAACACACACACACACACACATATTATTTTAACAATTGTTTTTTTTTTAGGTCTACCTAAGATGCAGGTCATCCGTAATTATTACGGGGTTCCGAGCCCCCTGTGCAGCCCACCGCTTAACATCCAGGTTGGTGATGTCATTGAGGTGATAGAGGCAAACGTCCGTAGCTGTTGGTGGAAGGTGAGACAGTTTTACATCTCACATCTTAAATAAACATTTCAAGTCATACAGCCCTGCAGGAATGACGCTAGCACTCATTTAGCTGCTAATTGATTGCCTCTCGTGTTTGTGTCAAAGGCCGAGCGGCTGTGTTGTTATGCTTTGCTAAGCGTGACTCGCTGTGAAATGCTAACTAATCCAACCCTTTGTCAACACAAGAAAGCTGTTGTGAGTTAGGTTTCATAGCCATACAAAAACAACACAGACCAGCACAATGCCCAGAGAGCAGACACGCGCTTGACGACAGATTTTATTTGTCATGTTGTCATTTGATAGGTGTTGGTGCACATGCAGTGCTCTGACATGAGCCCCACAAAAGAAAATCACTTAAATAGATTCAGATTAATGATTAACTCTTTCTCGGAGTACAATGCTAATCACTTTCCTGTAAACCTCAGCATATATAAGTGTCTTTTTGTCTCAATGTGTTCCTAAACATAGCAGAAATATTAATTT